AGATAGTTATGGCTTCTGTGACAAAGAATCCAGACCTGAAGAAGATTCAAGGAGAAATTGCAGATCAATTAGGTCTAGATCTCCGTGGGGAGACTGAACTTGGGAGGGCCTATCACCTAAAGGAGTATTTGAGGAAAAAGAAGAAGATTCTTGTGATTTTAGATGATTTCTGGGCGAGGCTAGATTTGGATGCCCTTGGAATTCCATTGGAAAACAAAAAGAGTGAGGCAAGTTCAACTGGAGAAGAACAGATGCAACTCAAGATTCTCTTCACATCTAGAGATTTGGATGTTTTATCTTGTGATATGGGTGCTGATGAAAAGATCCCAGTTGGTATTTTAGAAGATGAAGAAGCATGGACACTTCTGAAGAAGATAGTCGGCGGTGAAGTTGAAAAGTCTGAGTTATTGCCTATGGCAACGGAGATAGTGGGAAAATGTGCTGGGCTGCCGCTGGCTGTTGAAACAGTAGCAAAAGCTTTGAAAGGTAAGGATGCTTCTGCATGGAGGGATGCTGTACTACAACTGAAAAGGCCCTGTCAAGAGAGTTTCACGGGGATACCTGCAAATGTTTATTCAGCAATAGAATTGAGTTACAACCATTTAGAAGGAGAAGAGCTCCGGCAAACTTTCTTGCTTTGTTGCTTGTTGGGACACAATTCTTCTATTAAAGACCTGCTAAGTTATGGAATCGGCTTAGGCTTATTCCCTAATGTCAAGACAACAGGAGAGGCTCGAGACAGAGTACTAACATTGGTTAGCAATCTAAAGTCCTCCTCTTCTTTGCTGCTTGATGGTCATAGCAATGATTGGTTTGATATGCATGATATTGTACGTGATGTCGCCATATCAATTGCCTTAAGGAGCCAGCATTGGTTATCAATAGCAGCAGAAGACCATATACCCAAGGGGGGGTCAGATTTCAAATGGATCAGTCTACAAAAGGCTAATACTAGTGAGCTTCCTGATCAATTGGAATGTCCAAAGCTTATCTTATTTTATTTGGACAGCAAGGATCCTTCCATGAAAATTCCAGAAAACTTTTTCCGGGGAACACAAGAACTCAGAGTCCTGGATTTCACTCATATGTGTTTCTTATCCTTGCCTTCATCAATCTGCTTCCTAAAAAACCTCCATACATTACATGTGAATGGAGGTGTTTTAGAAGACATGGCTATTATTGGAAAGCTGGCGAGTTTGGAAGTCCTTAGCCTTTTACAATCAGATATTGTAGAGGTGCCAACGGCAATTGGGCAGCTAACCCAGCTAAAGCTCTTAGATTTGAGTGATTGTACTAAACTCAAAATCATTCGGCCACATGTCTTGGCCAGTTTGTCCAAACTAGAAGAGCTATATCTGAGAAATAGCTTCGATCATTGGGATGATGGGGAAGGAGGAAATCAAAGAAATGCTAGCCTTGCTGAGTTGAAAGATTTGCATAACCTGGCTGCTCTAGATGTACATGTACGTGATGTCCAGCAAATTCCAAAAGTTGGCTTGTTGTTTGAGAGATTGAAAAGATACAAGATCTTCATTGGAGAGGTGTGGAATCTCCGGGGCAGTTCCTTCAAAAGCTCAAAAATATTGAAGCTGGAGCTGAATACAAGCATTAGTTATAGTCATTCAATTTTCGTGCTGTTGAAGAAAGCAGAAGAGCTACATATAGAGGTATTAAAAGGTTTCAAGAATGTAGTTCATGATTTAGAAGCTGCAGGTTTTCAGGAACTGAAGTATCTTCATGTCAAAAATGCTCCAGAGGTTGAACATATTGTCAACTCATCAGTGGTGTCTGTATTTCCATTCTTGGAGGAACTTTTTCTGCAGAATTTGGATAATTTGGTGAAGATATGTCATCGCCGGTTCAGAGGAACATGTTTTGGGAGATTAAGCATTATAACTGTTAAGTCTTGTAATCAGTTGAAAAATTTGTTCACATTCTCAATAGCTAGACAACTTCACAAACTCAAAGAAATTAGAGTGATGAAGTGTAACAATATGACACAGATTGTTGGTGAGGAGTTGCCAGGGGTGATGGAAATAGCAGAAGCAAGTGAAACTTTAAAGCTTTCCGAACTACGGTCCTTGCAATTGCAATATTTACCGAAGTTTCTGTGCCATGGAAATGAGGAAACAAGTGATCCAAGCTCCAACTCGGCACCACTTTTCGGTGAAAAGGTATTTAAATTTTCTTTTATACAGTATATTGGTGTACATAAAAAACTAAACAGAGTAATTAGAAGGAACTTGGTAAAGATTTACTATGCTCTAAGTAAAGAATCGATGAAAATTACTACTTAAGTCGAATTTTTAATGTTATATATGTGATGGCTGCTAGTTAATATGT